GCTTGTGAATTCTTAGAAAATGTTGAGTGCGATCAGTCCGTAAGTGAACGAGTAAGAACCATTGGCTCCATTTCAAATCGTCACCGATCAGGTAATTAAACGCTTTTTACGTCACAGCATACACGTAGGCATAGATCGAACGTAAAATCTGCTATGAATGCAATGTTACCAGTAAAAATGTATACATTGCAATGAGAGGTGCAAATGATGGGAGAAAAGTGGATGAAGAAGTACCAATCACTGCCATCAATGTTCCTAATCCCACCAACACTAGATGCGTGATATATGGAAAATATCCCATAACTAGTTATAGTGTTGAGTATATTCTTGAGTACAACATGTAGCTCAAATACATTTAACATACTCTTAACACAACATCTACACGAAACCCGTGATTTGAGTTTTGGGTTCAAATTGAACATCCTGATAATAACATGGATTGGTTATGGCACATGCACAATATTGTATGTGATTATTTGTTGCTCCACTTTCGTAGCATTCCATCAAATATTCAATCTACTTTATCAATCTAAATGGGAAAAATTAATGACGTCGTGAATCGTGATACCTTGGAAATTTCTGATGATTTTAGGCCCTTTCAGGTCGAGTAAAGCCCAAGCCATTCATTTTACATTATTTTTAGCTTTGTTCAACTCTATTTTTGCAAATGGTCACTTCCCTTCGTTACCGGAGAACAATCATATTCACTTCCACATACGACATATGACGTCATAGGGAATGTAAACACGAAAGTAAACTCATTTGCTCTTTCCTGCGAATGCATATTGCTTGCTTTTTCAGCGTATTACCAATACCATAGAAATATGTAAAATATTGTCAGAATTTATGCCTGTTATTATATTGTTCCTGTACGGATGTTTTTGGCTCATCTCCGATTCGGGAAGGGAAGAAGAGTTTCAAGAAATTTTCAGTGATTATCGTTCAATTTGAGCAATGGATTTTTCGATACTATATTTGATTTAAATTTAATTGCAAACAGACAGAACTGTGGAAAACATATTGTTGAAACGCTTTCAATACACTTTCCGCCACACAGTGAAATTTGCTTGAAATTTAGTAATTAAATTTTTTTGACTTAATTTTTTTGCCTAACTTGACCATTCGAATATTTTGTAACATAAGCAAAGGAAGCCATCCGAAGATTATCTTTTTTTTTGCACTAGAAAGAAAAATAATAGCACTGTATCCAAAATAATCGTTATACTTTTGAACGGGGGGAACTTCAAATAGTTTTTTAAAGTCGCACGTTTTTTACATTTCTCATCTAGAAAAACATTTAAATTTTCACAAAATGCGAGCGCTTAATGAAAAAACTACAAAATTGTCCTTGTTAGACCCCAAATTCAAATTTCTGACACGAAATATGAGAATATTGTCTGTAGAATCGTTAAGATACGACTGCACGTAGGCACGCAGTTAGAAAATGCATGACATTTAACAGTAAATCACAGTTAATAAATGATAAAATTTCGTATTCTATATACCCTCTCTTGCTACTCATATTGTTTGCGTATCTTGGTTAGATTACTTTTGAGCACGCGGTTAAGATAGTATCAGTAATATCTGCAACGTTTATCAATAACAAAGTTTTCACAATTGCAACCAAACAACATTGAAATTCTAGTTTGTTTTTACCATGTTACGAAAGGCCCAAATTTTCAAGGTTTTGAAACAGAAAGGACGCCTAATTTGCATATTCTTATCTTGTCTGGGCGCTTCTGATGATATAAAATTCAAGGGAGACTAGCCAACGAAAATAATTAATAAAAAACACGATAAAACACCAATTTACGCTAGCACGCACAACTAGGGCTACGTCACAAACCAAAATACCGGAGATATAAAATAGGTAATGATATATGATGTCATATTTTCTACATAGATCAATGCATTCGTGTCGGTTTTATTCTTTATACATCGATTGAAAATACAAACCTAATTGACCCGCTTGGATATGTGTTACATTAATGGTTATTATTATATTTGTTAAACTATACCTAATTGATCATCATTAAAACACGAAAAAATAATGAAGTGTTATTTTATGCGTGTACACAATCTAAGGCATGCTTAACTTTATTTAATATGATAATTAAGAGTCCTAATTCTTTGATAGGAATACAAATGATCGCATTTTCTCCATACTTTCTAACTATTTATACTCTCTTGTAATGACCTTGTTTCTTCAATCTATTTATATTTAAATTTGCAGCCAAAAAAAAAAGACTCAAAGAAAGTACTAGACCGGGGATTATCGACTATTTTGCCCCCATTCACCACTTGGCAAAATTCAGAAGTATAATTTATCATCGCAATTGTGTAGACTATCTATTCCAGTGTGCTGTAGTGAACTATGAAATTATGACACTAGGCTAGACGATCTCTTTCCACATTGGGAGCATTATAAGCATCGATTGCGCAAGAAAATACTTGTCAATCTTCTATGGGGTCACATTTGTCCATGAAGTTTCTTTCTGAAGGCAAATTTCACTCACAATACAACTTGAGTCAGGAAGTGAAATTTACATCGGTTGAGAACCACTGTTTTATATGGATAGTTTTTATTATTTGATGCACTATTATTCTGCTATAAATATATTGTCTTCGTGAACATAGTGAGTGCAATCAATGAAACCCAAATGCCGTAAAATAACTTCAAAGTTTAAGAATGCTTGTTTTATTGAATGTAAACTGTTTCAGAAATAGTATAATCATAGAAATAGTTAAAACGCTTTATGGGTTTTAGTTTTATATTTCATTGCAGGTAAATTTGATAGCAATCCATTATTGTTTTTAAAAGAATTAAGTGCGAGAAATAAACTTATCATTTGAAACGTGTCATTTGAAATACTAATCAAAAAGGTAGTTGCCAAAAAATTGAATAAACAAACTAGCATAGAGCAAGCAAAATATTGGCATCAGTTTGAGCCAATTTATTTGATAAATTTACATTTGTCAATAACAGACCTGTCTTACACGCTTTATAGTCACGGAATATAGAAAACAAAGAAATATTTAAATTCAAAACACGATCTCTACTTAATCATTTTATCAACAGAAATAGTATTGTTTTTCAAATAAATCTTTCAAATTAGCTCATGATAATCTCTGTATATTATCACCTAATTCAGATGTATATGTACCTCAAACCAAGGACAGACCTGGTTTGATAGCTACTAGTTTTAATAGCGCAAAAAATAAAATGAAAAAAAAAGATTCTTTTCCAAGTGGTAAACGGTATATCGATACAGAAAACGCATTGCTACTAAATAAGAATAACTCTAAACCCCTTTAAAATGTATAAAAATTTTACATTTTTGTGTACACAAAATATTTAATAAAATAATGAAATTCGTTTCAATATGAATTGAGACATAAATATCAATAAATAATTAGAGCAAACCCCCAGACATGACCGAAGAATTAAATACAGAAGTCGACAGCGGCCCGACAATCATTTCTCATTGTTGACACATCCGCCTGTTCGGCAAGTAATGTTTCTTTTGCCTCTATATTTAGTTCCAAATAATGATTTTGAATCCAAAAAGTCTGATATTTATGCAGATTAGGAGTTAGAAACAAATTACATAAAGTGAACTTATTTTATTGCAAACATTATGTTATAAACCGAAATAGAACAACGACGACGAGAAATTATCATTTCGCAACAAATAAAAAACAGTACCATTTCAACCGAATGTTATCTTTTTTACTTTTCTTACTATATACCCTTTTAGTACCGTACAAAGGTGTATACATATTAACTGTTAGCGTGTTACCAAATCATAGCTTTCTACACATATGTTCGGCTGATATGCTATATTTTTTAGAGTGCATCAGCCGAGACCAGAGAATACAACCCCTAGCCATGCCAAAGAGTTTTGTAACCGGAAAAGACCTAGAATTTGAATATTCAATTTTCGGATTTTCAATGAAGTGCTCAAAAAATATCCCCGAAAAATCGATATAGCGAATAATACACAATGGCTTGTTCATAAACCACAATAGACCGGTGTACGTGTGACTAAAAAAGATATTTAACGCTGATCGTTTAAGGGGATCGATGATAAATATTGTTTAAGTACAGCGTGGTGCAAAAGTCGCGGTTTATTTTAAGCAAAATATCAGCCTAACAGCATGTATATTATGATAGAGTCAAGAAGGAGAAGAGAAATGTCACAGGAGCAATCCAAAGAAACCCCAAAATATAATAAATTTAGTCCGAGCGACAATAAACAGTAAATTAATCACGGAATGGAATATATAATATTTTTCTATTTATAACTATAAAATTATGCAAAATCTGACAAATGCCATGATATCTGTAATTAGTCATTGCATTCACTTGTCATATAACAATTAATTATACCATGTGAAGAAAAATATCACAGAAACAAAAACCAAATGTCAGAATGGACATTGAAATTCAGTATACAAATTAATGTTTTTGAATTGATTTGAACAAAATCTAAATATGGATACTAATTCTATTTATATCGTAATATAATATTCCATCCTATTTTAAGTCTATTGACCATCGGGAATGAGAACTCAACAAAGTTCAAAATTTGTATTTTTCATACTGTTCTCAAGCATGCTCGCTATCGATCGAAGAAAAAAAAATCTTTTTCGATCCAACTGTCATAGATAGAACAAATTATCATACGAAATTTGATTGGCTGAGTGTGGCTGTTGTATTTAAGACTAATTGTGAGCTAATGAGAGATAGTTACTTCCTGTAAAATTTGATCTCTTATTCAGAACTTGCTGCCAAAACTTACAATAGCTTGTAAACATCATTAACAAAGTTAGAAATAAGACGATGCCAATCCATTGACGTCACTTTCATCAGTACATGAATACAGAAAAATGCAACTACGTGTTTATCGTAAGTAAAATTTATGTAAAAAATAGATTAAAAATCATTATGAAAAATATAGTTATCGTAATGCAGCGTGAAAAAAAAAAAAAAAACTTACTTGTTTCAGATGAGTGCGCAGTATCCGAATTTGCTATTTCATCATCGCTTGGGACTTTCGACAAACTAGTCCGTGTTTTCATGCTGAGTTGACTGTTACAGTTAGTGACGACAACGCAAGATTCTAGTTACGAACTAATGTTAATTTTCAATATGAATGTTTATCTGAGAAAACATACAATAATAATACAATAATTTTAACAATTATATATATTTATACTACAAACATGAAATATGTGTTTTTATAAAGTTCACCCAGTCTAGACTAGACAACACTATGATTTATTTGCCGTTATATACACATCTTATTTTTACTTTGTATTTGTAGTATTTGAAGATTACCATTTACGCAAAAGTCATCTAATTGTCAGGAATTTTCAGACTGATTTGTCCATTAAAATATGCAAGGATATCATTTTCCATAAAGCTGGGATTCAATGATTTATTCATATGGCGCACATAGCCCATGACCGTGTTGTTGAGTGAGTGTTGACTGTTGAGTGGCCAAACGGTTTCACAATTACAGAAGTATGTAAGAAGTTTTGAATTTAAGATAGAGTCATTATTCATGTACTGTAATAACCGCTCTAGCATGTTAAATTGAGAGCAAACTTATTTTTGACAATTCCTTTTTTGATGCTGTTGTTGATAGCCTTCAACTACGAATCCATAACGCTAAGCCACAGTTGTGGAAACACTTGCTGGGCAGTCTGATAAACCCTGGAATTTCGTAGCAGGATGACTCGCGAAATTTTTATGGGGCGAGACACAACGTGGTTAAGTCAACTAAAAATCAGCCTAGGATCTCGGTCGGACGTTGCGCTCGTCCGAAAAAGACCGAACGCAGACGTATGGAGGTCCCACTTTACTGAAATTCGTCCACCTTGGCTGTGGGATTTCCTTTATGACGCTTGCGCTATCAAACGTTACTTGTTTATACCACCAATCCCAAATCAAAGCACATATTCTAGCGAATCGCACAGATCTATCGACAATGATATAATATTAAGCGAAACGCCGTACAACATAAAACACACAAAATCATTTTCGTAATGTTAAAATAAACTTTCCGCGCCGTTGCGACAATACCGATAAGACACAAACTATATAACTAATAAAAGCTGATACATAGCAGTGATATAATATAGGAACGGGACATGTTTTGTTTACTTTGAAACATTTTGTTTACACTGCATTTTGTAAGCGGTGGGTAGCGCAAATATGAGCTAGTGGTCCCAGACAAAGATACAGTTTTGTCATCTCAACTAAAATATAAAAATGAAGGACACCCAAAAAAAAAATCTCAATATTCCTAAGTCAGCCAAATAATTTTTCAGTCGTGTACATATAGTATATCCAGAGTCTGTATATGTTAAAGATAAGGTGTGAGGGGAACACATTTCAGTGTTGTGTATTTTGCATTGTCTCTGAATAAAGGAAGTAATACATCCACTCTCAGTAACAAAATGATCAGGCATGCAGGCCATATATGCATCGTAAACAGATTTGTATTATGTAAGCTATTGTGTGGAAAATTTGGAGAATTGTAAGAAAATTTCGAACTATCCTGCAATCACGTGTCATCTCGAAAGATCTATCACTGATCCATCAGCCCATGACCAGAAGCCCCCCCCCCCCCCCCCCTAACGGGGGATTGTTCCTTCACGTATAATATTAGAGGATTAGAATTAATCAAATGCAGAGTAAATTTAATTTCAAGATATATTTTCGAAATATCTAACTATTCAGCCATAGAATTCCTCAAGAGCATTCGCCACATAAATGATTCTAGAATACTAATCAAAATCGGTTTTACGATTCTAGCATCTATAATTATAGTGGAGTATCGAACCACAAGTCAGAGAAGGAAAATTGGTAGGTAAAAATGACTCCGAAGCCTACAAATTGTATTCAGTCATCATTGTACCGGTATATTTAGCTAATTTTGTTTACAGTGTAGAAATCAGCAACCATATGTCAAGAATAACAACAATAGCAATTCATCATTCTTCTGTAAGTTGGACTTGACTTGATTCGATAGTGGGTGTGAATGGGGATTGACTGAGATCTTGAAGAACTAGCTGTACTGCTGACTTTGTGAATAGAATCGCCAAATAAAAAATGGAATGACATATTCAAAATATTTTATTGAAACGCAGTTCATTTAAATTAACATACTATCTAATTAATGATCAGCGTTAATGAATCTTTGTTTTGTAGATATGATTTATTTCAATTAATCCTGAATTTTATATGATTCAATATGTGACGCACTGTTAATCAATGGTTCAAATTAGGAATCGAATTGAAGTCAAATATCAGGCTTAAAGTTGTAACTGATAAAACTATTGATTGACTAATCGATCACATCTCGAACTTCACCCCTGGTGTCACCCCATACCTCCACACAATGTCCAATGAAAAACATATTATGTAACATATTTTGATAAGTCCAAGAGTGCAACTCCCAAATTCTGATTCTCTATCTAGATCGAGTAAGGAATCGTGTTTTCGCACAACCCATAACGATCTTACTATAGGTATAGCGTTAATTAAATTATCTCAGTCATATATTGCATAATGCCTTTAAGCTAGCCGTTCATCCCAAATTTTCAAACTTATGTAACCCCAAAACAAGATAAACCAGCTCATGTTCATAAAACTGAACCCGAATACGAAAATACATCTTCTACTGCAAACATATTGGTTTGAAGACACTCTATAGGTTGGAGCAAACGACGATATGTATGAATAGATAAATTAGTGTTAACCGACCTGAATGGGATGTAAAAAACTGTCTTATAAAAACAGACAATTGAATGTTGTTTAAATTTAAACTAAATGTTTGATTGCGTATTTAAAGACCGAAATAGGAACCAGAAGAGGACCGAAGCCTTTTACATATAGTTCACCAAATACTTTGGGAGGCATCAATTTAAAACATTATTATTTTTATTACAACATATCAATATCTGCGTATAAAATATCTGTCAAATAAAAAATCTTAGCAGGATTTGTGCCCACAATATATCTCGTGATATTTGCGTGACATTTTACATCTATTAGTAATTGTATCAAGTAGAAGGTGGGCGAAATAGGCGCATAACATACTGGCATTTGGGAGGTCGTTTTACTCAAATTCAGGTCACGTTCGCGAGTTTCGTATCGGTCGGTTATTAAGTCTGCGGCAGAGTGAGCCTTAAGGGTTCTATATTATTGAGAAATCGGTATTTATTTCTGCCTAAAGTCAGTGCATCACGAGACTTGAGTATTCTATTACATAACAATATAATTTTGAGCTAGAAAAATAAACAAAACGACCATACCAACAAAACATGGTTGATATTTTGTAATAAGTTTCAGTGACATTATCAAATGCGATCTGGCACATGAAATCGAAACCTTTGATGACTTATATGAACTCATCTATTGCCTCATACCGAACTATTATTTATAATACTTTGTTATTTACGAATTGACATTTATGAACGTCACAAATATTGTGAGAAGCATAGTAATAACAACGGGCAAAATTTCTCCTTATAGTTCAAGTACATTTCCATAATACCATGTGATCAAAAGATAAAGTGATGAAACGGTTAATCGGTCTATTTTTAGGTAATTCACAGTTGACGGTAGTATGACAATTTGACAAATAGTATTGCGCGCTTGCATTCATAGTTATTACATCATGATTACTTCACAATTGAATTCTGGATTACGAGCTATTTCATATGTACGAAATATTGCTTCGAATGGCGTCAATTGGCAGAGCTTCCCATTTTTCATTCCAACACTGTTCATTATTGCTTCCAATACATTAAACATTATCAATTTCGCATTTTTTTTTTTTTGAGTTTGTGTCTCAAGTGGAATATCGCGACCATCTTTTAAGGCAGTGTTTACTTGCAAGCAACTTCCCCACTCTTACGTGATGACGCAATTTTTGGGAGGATCATGCTTATAAAAAAATTATAATTTGTATTTTCCCAATATCAAAATGCGGCGTCTATCACACAATTGTTCTAATTATCGCAATACGACACTCTATCCGAAATATATCATTGATTCGCAAGTGACGCAATTTCTCATGAGGTCGCAATTTTTCGAGTCGTCTTCAACTTGCTACGTTTTGCATTTTCGAAGACTTGGTAGTAGTATTTGTGGTAAATATTTCTTTTTCAACCCCCCACTCATCCGGGGTATAATAAATTGGATAGGCAATGCTGAACCGGAAGGATTTCGACCCTTTAAAAAATATAGTTTGAAATATTTACTATGTTCACGTAAACCCTGAAAAATTATTATCAGTGGTTGATAAATAGCATTTTTCATGTTAAGAAGGTTTTTTACAGTATAGCTACACCCAACAGAAGCAAGCGTGATTCAATGATAGATCGAAGGAGCAATCTATAATTAACCCATGCTGGCAAAACATTACTAAACAACAAATTACATCAAGAATTCCAGGATACGAAACTGACTAGAAACGAAACTTAGACAACGAATAATGCATGAGAAACAGGATATCGTCTGCTATAATAATTTCCCCAAACAATACATTAAGTTTTCACTTGATGACAAATAATAAAGGGAGGTTTGCTTCCTTGAATATCGTTATGTGACTCCACTAGAAATTCATCTTTGATTTCTAATTGGAATATTAAAAACATTGTAGATTTTAGGAAATATATACGTTCATATACTGTAACAACTAAAATAGATTATAATTTTCATGGTGTAAAATAGCTCTTTGACAATCTTTCATAGCCATCTTGCATCCAATCATGGGCTACATCCTCTACATGGGCTACAGCACTGCTACACCTTCTTCCACACAGCACTACTTATGTAAACCAGTATCTATGATACATTGACATAACACATCAAAATTTCAAATTGCCTTTGGTTTTTGAGAAAAAATGTCTTAACTGATATAACTGTATCGTAACTAAATGTTTCGGCGCTTCAGAAGTATATGTATACCAATATGAAGGTAACTAATTTTGTTCGCCTACTTCACATTAAGTTGAGTAAAAGGACAGAAACCTGTGGGCAGGGGGTATATTCACTTGGCTAACACAGACAGTCCCCGAACTCGTAATAGAACTAAAATGAGGAAAATCAGAACACAATTATGTCCTAACCCTAACCAGG